CACCCAGATTTCTGAGACTATTTTTCACTGAAGGAGTTAAAAAAGCAAGGAGCTGCCTGATTACAGGGATTTTATCATGAGGGGCAATAATAAGAGTTTCAGTCTTGTTTGCATTTAACTGCAGGTAGTTGTTGTTCAGCCATATTTTGACTTCTGACAGACAGTTACTGAGTTCAGATAGTTTGAAGAACTCAGAGGGTCGAAAGGAACAGTACAACTGTATGTCATCAGCATACAGATGGTAGGACACATTACTCAGAGGTGCCAACCTGGAGTCATCCCAAATCATAATGATTGTCGGAGCATTTGCGTCGCGCAACGTTCATTCGTTTTTGGCAGTTTGTGCACATAATAAAAAAAAAAAATGGAATTTATATCTTTAAACTTCAAAGTATTCATACAAACCTACTTAATTCTAGATGGAGAGATTATAAGTAACAAGTGATAAAACAGTTTATAAAATGGGTGCTTTATGAACATAACTTTGCTAAAGAGTACATACATCTATTATTGGGTCTCATTTATTCATTCACACTGAAGATGAATTTGTAGTCACAGGGAATTCTTGTCACAATATTTTAACTGAATAAGGAGGAAACTATATTTGTCTTTTAAAAATAATAACAGATGAATGGTCTTTTCCATTACTGAGTCCGGCTCCTCTCGGCTCAGTTCGGGTTGGTTCGTAGTAGTAACGTCTTTTAAAAGTAGCTGCTGTATATATTGCCTGACTTTTATTTTGTGAAATAACGATACTATTGGCATTGCTGTTTGTTTTTCATTGAGTTAAATCCATAAAGAAAAAAAAAATCAACATATTTACTCACACTCCTAGGCATAAAGTGTGCAGTAACTGTAATTTCATTTATTAGAAAATCATTTTGGTTTAGTTTTACTGCATTTATAAGCAACGGTTTGCTGTAGCAGGGTATTTAGTCTGTAAATAATAATCATACCCTGCTACAGCACACCATTGCTTATAACGCAGGAAAAATGCAGCAGGAGGGGTTCCCAGGAGCTCAGCTGAATGAATGAAGCTCGTCACAAGGCCAGATCGTAATAAATGTCTAGTACGCCGTAATGGTTCAGAGCGGGTCTCAATATCGTAATGATTACGGTGAGATCGTAATGGTTGGCACTTCTGCATTACTGTAACATTTTAAAATACCTCCTAAAGGGTACAGGTACAATAAAAAGAGGATTGGGCCCAAAACTGAACCTTGGGGTACCCCACAAGACAGCGGTGCAACATCAGAGTAAACCTGATTCATAAAAGCAGTAAAAAACCGTTCTGATAAATAAGAGGTGAACCAGTTTAACACAGAGCAAGAAATACCAAAATTATCTCTCAGTCTGTTGATAAGAGCAGAGTGATCCACAGTGTCAAACGCTGAAGTTAAGTCCAATAAAACCAGTACAGTGTAGTTTCCAGAGTCAGCTGCCATCAACAGGTCACTTGAAACTTTTAATAAAGCTGTTTCTGTGGAGTGCAATTTGCGAAATCCAGACTGAAAAATGTCCATAATGTCATTTTCCTCCAAAAAGCAAATCAATTGTTCAGCTACCACCTTCTCCAGGATCTTTGATAAAAATGGTAGTTTGGAGATCGGTCTGTAGCTTTCAGGCAGAGAAGATCCAAATTAGGCTTTTTTAACAGAGGACAGACAACAGCTGTTTTGAAGCAGTGGGGTACAGAGCCAGAACCAAGGGAGTAATTTATCAGTTTTACAACATTTGGGCCAATACAGTTAAAAATATGTTTAAAAAAAGAGAAGAGGGCAGGACATCAAGGGGGCTAGAGGACATTTTCATTCGACCCAACAGTTCTGTGATGTCCTGAATTGTCTCTGGGGTGAATGAGGACCATGT